TCAAAGTGTACAAACAGTACATTTCAGATACTAGATGCAGGACTTGTGAAATAAAACAAAGGGCTAATTGCAGCCATATGTCTGCCGATAAGGCCACTGTTGTTTAATTTCAAGTCTATTTCAGGTTTTTTTTTTTATATACAAGTATTGAAATCTTACGAGATTGTACAAACTTAGCACTGCACATCAACACCAAATACAGAGTAAGAGTGGAAAGCTAACGATTCACACATTTTATCGTTATTCAGTAAAACAAAAAATTAAATTAAAACAATTTTAAAAAATCAAGCAGAAGAAATGTTGCCCCCATATGCAGACGTCTCTTTTACGCTACGAATATTATGCAACAAAATTATAAAAGTTGCTTCTATAAATTCTTCATCAGTTGAGCCCACCTCCTTACATGTACCCCACCCCATCTCAAAAGAGTACTGAAATTGCTTCCAAAGGCTTGATTGTATTTCAGTATCTTTGATTTGCTGAAGAATTTTCAAGAGATCTAGAGTAATTTTATTATTGATTCTGGAAAATCTTATAATAATGTTGTAAAAGAGTGATCAGATTGAAATCATTGAATGGATTCCAATTTCACACCTTTGAAAATATATTGTAAAATTTAGCCTGAAGGGAATATTCTCACACCTTTTTTTCCCCAGAACTTCAATGTAAACAGTGATATACACATATATTCAACAATTCATCTCCACACCGACTGATGATGACTCGAGCCATTTCCTGTTTATTATCAATTTGTGTATATACTTTGTTTTGGAGTACCTACTCTAAAAATTATTTTAAAACATTTTCCAAGAAAAAACAACAACATTTTAAAGTGTTGATTAATGGACATACAAAAATATGTATAGTTATAGTTTTTTTTACTGCAAAACAATGAAGATGACAATGGCTAATAATTAGTAAATATAGTTAACCTTGTTAATTAAGTTTAGGTAACAACATGTTGGACTAATTATGTTGTTAGTGCTATTATCACATGAAAACAGTTATTGGTATCTGTTTCAAAAAAAAAAAAAAAAAAAAAAAAAAAAAAAAATCAAAATACATGTATTTGAATGTACACATCAGGCTTCATGGTTTGCTCATTCAAAGATCTGTTGCAACTCATTTTCATAATTAAAAAACCATCATTTATTCAACATTTTATTTTTTTCTTATTTAACAGATTAAAAATATATATTCATAAAATATACTTTTCTAACATTTCAATTTAATTTTACCAATTTATATATATGCATACATATAATATGACCTTTCCTATTACAATGCATTCAGTACTGTCTTTTATGGTGCAGATTACAATCACTTTTAGAATTTAGACTCAATTTACCAGAAATTGTATTTTTCATTTCATAACTAATTGTTTGGGAAATTTAATGATAATAATAAGTGTATAAATTAAATGAAGAATATCTAACTGTGCCATATTTCATCGTAAGTTTTTGTATGAAGAAAAACTATATAGGTATACATCTCAGCTCTTTGATTCATTCCTTGAAAAAATTATCAATATAATTACAATCCTTTAAATTTAAAAATAACCCAAAATTTAAAGTTATACTGATATAGAAAAGAGTAGAAATTCTGATATTGTAAAAATTAAGACTTCAATTTTCATAGGGAACATTTGCCATGTTAATTAAACTCACCTAATCATACTGGTGTGTTCTCTTAAATGGCTATATATAACTTTTTTTTATTTCTGAATGAAATTTTGCCAATTTGATATTATTTTGCTTGCAATAGCATGTACTTTCTAAATGTCAAATGATAAATTGTAAAAGGACTGAAATTTTCATAGGGAGAATCCATCATCATATTATACTCTGTCAATCGTACTGGTGTGTTCTCTTGAATGGCCATAACTTTTTTATTTCTGAATGAAATTTTGCCAGTTTGATATTATTTTGCTTGCAATAGCATGTACTTTCTAAATGTCAAATGATAAATTGTAAAAGGACTGAAATTTTCATAGGGAGAATCCATCATCATATTATACTCTGTCAATCGTACTGGTGTGTTCTCTTGAATGGCCATAACTTTTTTATTTCTGAATGAAATTTTGCCAGTTTGATATTATTTTGCTTGCAATAGCATGTACTTTCTAAATGTCAAATGATAAATTGTAAAAGGACTGAAATTTTCATAGGGAGAATCCATCATCATATTATACTCTGTCAATTGTACTGGTGTGTTCTCTTGAATGGCCATAACTTTTTTATTTCTCAATGAAATTTTGCCAATTTGATATTATTTTGCTTGCAATAGCATGTACTTTCTAAATGTCAATTGATAAATTGTAAGAGGACTGAAATTTTCATAGGGAGAATCCATCATCATATTATACTCTGTCAATCGTACTGGTGTGTTCTCTTGAATGGCCATAACTTTTTTTATTTCTCAATGAAATTTTGCCAATTTGATATTATTTTGCTTGCAATAGCATGTACTTTCTAAATGTCAATTGATAAATTGTAAGAGGACTGAAATTTTCATAGGGAGAATCCATCATCATGTCATATTACTCCGTTAATCGTACTAGTCTGGTGTGTTCTAATGAATGGCCATAACTTTTTGTACTTTTCAATGAAATTTTGCCAATTTGGAATTATTTTGCTTGCAATAGCATGTACTTTCTACATGTAAAGTGATAAATTATAAGAGGACTAAAATTTTCATAGGGAGAATCCATCATCATGTCATATATTACTCGTTAATCATACTAGTCTGGTGTGTTCTCTTGAATGGCCATAACTTTTTTATTTCTGAATGAAATTTTGCCAATTTGATATTATTTTGCTTGCAATAGCATGTACTTTCTAAATATAAAATGATAAATTGTAAAAGGACTGAAATTTTCATAGGGAGAATCCATCATCATATTATACTCTGTCAATCGTACTGGTGTGTTCTCTTGAATGGCCATAACTTTTTTATTTCTCAATGAAATTTTGCCAATTTGGTATTATTTTGCTTGCAATAGCATGTACTTTCTAAATGTCAAATGATAAATTGTAAAAGGACTGAAATTTTCATAGGGAGAATCCATCATCATATTATACTCTGTCAATCGTACTGGTGTGTTCTCTTGAATGGCCATAACTTTTATATTTCTCAATGAAATTTTGCCAGTTTGATATTATTTTGCTTGCAATAGCATGTACTTTCTAAATGTCAATTGATAAATTGTAAGAGGACTGAAATTTTCATAGGGAGAATCCATCATCATGGTATACTCCATCGATAGGAATTGGTGTGTTCACTTAATTAAATTACCATAACTTTTTGTACTTTTCAATGAAATTTAGCCAGTTTGGAATAGATTTTTTTGTCATAGCATTCACTTAGTAAATCAAACCTAATAAATGAATTTGTGTATATTTTTTGAAACATTAAGAAAATGACCAATGGGAGACTTTTTTTCTACTCAAGACCAGGTTTTAAAATTTAAATAAATTATTTGAAAAGGGAGAGCTTTATCTGCCTTATAAATACAGTCATAATTACTATTCAAAAATAGAAATTAAGTTTTTAAAGTCAGATACCTGCATGCATATAACATATGAATTTATTTGACCCCTAAATTCATCTGTGAAACCTGAGTGGACTACAAGTTTTCTCCTTTTATTTCATGCAAATTCACTTGGCTGAGTACTTTTATTTGATAACGCTCTCCGAGTGAAAACGCTACCATGATTAAAAATAATTCAACATTCATTTAAAGTAGAAAAATATAGTCGTTATAGAACAATTGAATACTTTATCTAGAATGAAACGAAACGCCCGGAGTGAATCCAAATAGTCGCGACGAATCCACCCAATACCGATCAAGATCTCCACTGCGCTTTGTATTCGTAGTAAAATTACACATTCTGTAAATGCATTGTTGCAACTGTGATGCAAGAACAGGGAAAGATGCAGTCTGCTGAAAGGATTAATTCACGTACTTTTAAATCAATTTAGTCTCATTTATATTCATTTTATTGAGATATTGGTTTAATACGTAATGCTTGAATTAGTCCACAATCACCTCAGCGCAATTAATAAGTCAAAAAGAAAGGTGTTTTAGTTCAGTTCAGTTATGGAATTCCCTCCTATGTATAAGGAGCACCCGAGAAGGTGGTTTCATAAAATACATTTAAAGGTCGGAAGTATTTCAGCACTTATAATTATAACCCATTACAAACCTATTTCAATGATATTTACAAAAATATTTTAGTTACCATTCATTATGAAATCATTTCAAGATAGATCCATGCAGAAGTCTATTTAAGGTTTATGATAAACACTGATAAAAGTAAAGAATAACAATTTTATATCTAGACCACAGCATGTATATAATATGACAGTAAAGTTTTTTTTATAGTGATATAAAGCTAGAGTAGAAATATTAAAGTAATGATTTTAAAATGTTAAGTTTGCAATGAATTATATGGCAAAAAGCTTTCAAAAATAATTTTGACCCTTGACTGTATTAGATTAAAAGAACATGGACTGTTTTTCCCTGTACATTAAAGAGATAAAAACAATTTCCATTCTCCTGTAGGATAAAATATTCTATAAATCATTTTGTTAGAGAACTTTTAATCCTATTAGTGACAATTATAGAACTTCTTGTCCTATTTCACAAATTATGGGATAAAAAATCCCATGTAAGGTTAAAAATGGGAGTTTTGCTTCTATAGGAGAAAAAATCCCACAGAACTCATTTTTCTCCCACAGAATAATGGTGGGATATTAGTTAGGAGAGAAAATCCCACCATAATCCCATGGGATTTCTTGATTGCAGGTGTAATATCTTTTAATCTAGAAGATATTCAGGTGTAAAGGTTAGTCCATGTTGTGCGATTAAAAAAATCCCACCAGATGACATAAATGGTTTCCATGTATCTTTGGAAAAGTGGTATGCGAAAGTCCGGACAAATGTCGTGTCCGGAGTTAAATGTCGCACTGTTACAATCAAAATAAGAAAGCGTCCTCATTCAGAGTAAAAAAAATTTCCCGTTCACATGGCGAAGGACATACTGTATATAAGGTTATTTTCGCCCTCTCATACTAGCAAAACAATTTTGCCCCGTTTTGACTTTGCCAAGACATAGTTGTTTTAAATGATTCACTTTGCCTTCTTTGAATTCGCCAAGCTCTAAAATTCGCCCACTTGCGGAGAGGGCGAAAGGGGCGAAAATAAAATGGGACTGTGTGATTATTAGTGTATTTGTAGAACCCAACGATTATTTTGTGGGTCGACAATGTGAGTATGATATTTGTGAATAATGATGAAAACTATACAACAAAGTTTGGAACTGTGCGACCTCAAAACCTATAATAGTTCAAAGTCATCAATTTTGAATTCAAGTCAACAAAAGCGTATAGACTGACAGTCTATCTCGTCGAAGTTTGGATGGATAAGAAAATAAAGTACGAGAACATAATACTGACAAAAGATTTTTCTTTCACATATTCTGTCTTAACAATTTTTTTTTCTACAGTTCGTCTATAATCTCATTCGGTTCTCCCGGAACTTCAGTATTGAGCGAAAAATTGCTGGCAGCGTCGTCTTTGTTTCCAAGACTGTACACGAGTTGGTTTGAGACCTCATTCTGCGGATTCCTCAGTTGTATCGAACAATCTCGAGTGTACTCGAAAGTAAATGCACCGATGATGCCACCAAGAATCGGCCCAATCCAAAATATCTGTTAAAATGCAATATCTGTGAATATTTAACATGATTCAATTTAAAACTTGACTCAAAGGTATTGTAACGTAGACCATGTACAACTCTCGTGGCAAAGAATAAAAATTAAAAGATACTGAAACTTTCTACCAGATGAGCTGAAGGAAAAAGTTTTATAGCAAAAACTCACGACAAAACTTAGAAATATGTGAACTATTCTTCATTTGTAGGTGTTTAAAATATAGTTTATATCACTGTTTTGACAGAGTGGGTGTTTTTTAGACAAATAAATAATCATTCAATCTTTAAATCAAAGTGCTTGCGTTTGCTATAATTCAACATATTTTAAAATAGCTTTTGTTGATTCTTTTGTGTGAAAATGATACCTTTTTTGTGCAACATTGCAACATTATGAAATTTCTCACACAATTAACAATATAACAGAAAGTGAATGAAATGCATGATGTCGACAAACGAAATTGAGAAAACAACTTCAATAAAAACCAAATTTAAAAAAATTAAAAATCCACGATAAAGCTACCGATATTGATTATTTTTTTACTGGTGAATTATTCTGTCATCAAAGAAAGAATATGAATTTTAAATTGATATTTTCTCAGATCATTTTAAATTCATTTTTTCTATTTACAAAAGTGCATACACATAAATCAAAATAGCAATTTTTAAAAACTTTTTTGGAAAGTGATATCCTTTTACTTAAAAGAACATCAAAAATGTACAAAGTTTCACACTGAACTGGAAAGCTTACCCAATGATTAGACCATGCATTATGGAAAATTGCTGGAGCTAGGGTCCTCGCGGGATTGATACCACATCCAGTGGCTTCAGTCTGTGAAAAGTAGAAGATAAGTTTAAACATAAAAGCAACACGCATCAACAGTCAGGGAAATATAGTCGTATCTAAAAGTATCTAAAAGCACATCACCCTTGCAAATTCGATGCTGGATATACCCAATATTTATTGTGATATTGACTATCTATTAGTATTGGAGAGAAAAAAACGGTATCTCATCCAAAAGATCAGCTAACGGCACATATTTCACGAGAATCGGACAGAGATTCAAGTTCTTAATTGCTTATCGACAGTAGATTGGAGTAACGTTAATATATAGAAAGATCAATTGAATGCAAACATAAATAGGGAGTATTGACAAGAGACCTTGAAGATGTATGATTAGATTAATCGTGTAAATGACGAGCACATCCATTCAATTATCAGCAGCAAATGCGTGCGGATAATATTAATAAATAATATTCATGTAATGAATTTAATCAACCAACTTTTATTAATCTACTTCAGTGTTTGCAATTCTTGTTCTTCTTGTTTATAAATGTTCATTTCAATTGCTTAATTTTCAATGATATTCAATGCAAGACAAATACTCTTAAAAACATTCTAAATGTAGTGTATTACATGTCTTTTTGTTGACGCTAACATAGAAAAAACAACGTTAAACAATATACACTTACAAATGGAAGTTTTGTCAAACCTTACCGTAAAAAGGTGAGCAGACGCTATAGAAACGCCACACGGAAGAGCTTTTGGCATCAGTTTTTCGTTTTTCTTCCTCAGTGAAGAAAAATATGCAAAAACAAACAAAAACGTTCCTAGAAATTCAATTCCAAACGCTTGTCCTCGAGAAACATCTGGATTAAGAACATTGATTCCAAAATGATCTCGCGAATACTCGGGTACCAATCCATATATAATAGCAGACGATATAATTCCCGCGATAAGTTGCACAAAAATGTAACAAGTTGCTCTGAAGAAAGTTATGTATTTAGTGCAAAGCATAGATATTGTAATAACTGGATTAAATTGTGATCCACTGGCATGACTAACAGAAGAAACCAGAATATATTCAATGAATCCAAAACTGAGACTAATCCGGATTATCTTGTGGGGATCATGGTTGTCTGCGTTCCAAGTAACCGTTGCTGCACATCCAAACAATACATAGAGCAAAGTACCAAAAAACTCACAACGAACACTTTTCCAAAAATGTCGTTCTTTTATTTCTTCTTTTACTCTCATCAGATATTCTTTCAGCTTCATTGCTCTCAAACTTAAAGAACCCAACAGAATGTTTCATTACAGGAACGTAGTCTGCAAATAAAATTACCAATATATTTTGTACATCACTTAATGCTGCACAAGCTTGTTCAATTCATAACTTCTATTCTTATTTTTTTAAAAGACATCCAAACCTCCCTTCCATACTTGATGGGTGATTTGACTGTTTCAGAAATCCAGCAATTTCGGTATTCAATTATCCCATCAAATTATTCTCCAGCGAACGGCGTCGTAAACGATAGTGACAAACTCCAGATGAATGGATTCTCTCATCCAACAGCAATAAACGGTCATTTGCCGCTCAAAGGATATTTTCTGCCAATGTGACTACATTTCGGGCAATTAGTAAGATGCAAACGAGCCGAACGAAGAAACCAATGTGAAACAGATATCTACGACGTTGCTTCAGGCTAAATAAGGGATGAATTATCGTGTAAATCCCCGCATCGCTTTTATTCATTAGAAGAAACGATGAATGTAAATACTGGACACATTGTTGGTTCGTATTCTGAATGATGAAAAAAATCTTAATTGAAAAATCTATGTAGCTCTGTGACCATAATTGATTTTTCTTTTACAATTTCTGTGTGTAGGTTTTTAAATCGACATTTTTTAAGAATGTAAATAGTTGACGATTTGAAACGAAATCGTATCATTTCTGGTTTTCTAATAAATGACTTCAGGATTTTTTAAACTAAAAAACGATAATGCTTACAAAATAATAAACTATAGGAATAAATAAATGCTTGTAGGAGAAAACAGGGGGAAAAACAAACGCAAACAAAACCTTCTAAATACAAAACAAAAAGAACATAAATGTATCATTACCGAAGACCTCCTCTTCCCAAAAGAAAGAAACAAAAGAAAAAAAACAATAACAACAACCGCACCAAAGGAACAAAGTTTTAGTACATTAGATAAATGAAAGAATATCCCATCAATTAAAAAATCATAAATAACCTTTCAACACAACTCATAAACAATGCTGGTACAGGCTTAGTGAAGAATAATTTTTAAAATGAAAAGCCTCGTTTGTTAAATAGTAAGAGGGGGAAATCAATTAAGTCAATATCAAGCAATTTATATGCAACACAGCCTGAGTGTTATACTATATGAAATGGTAATTGCATTGCAATGTATTACTTTAAATTAAAGTACTCCCAGTAAATGAATGTGTAATGCTAAAAAAATTGCATTACATGTAAGTGTTGTAACGGTAATGTACTGAATTACATGTACTTTCAAAATTCTAGTGTAATGCTGGCATTACAATGCATTATTATGTGTATACAACACTCATTTACTAAAATTTAAAAAAGGATTCGAAATGGAGATAGTAATCATTGTTGAGATTAAGAGATTAACATATAAAATTACGAAAGAAAAACAATTTAACTAATTGAGGTAAACTTAGTTTTTGTATACCGGTATTCAAATAAATTTTCATTTTTATGATGCTTGTTTAAGTTACAGCTAATACAAATTTAAATTTCCATACTGTTAAAGTTAATTTTTAAATAAGCTTTGTTGTCAAAGAATATTCAGTGGAGTTTCAAAATTTCTTTAAAAATCAATGCCAGTGAGGGATATACTAAGTAAAGATACACTGTGTCAACAAAAAACATAATGCCTCTAGGATTATGTAACAATCAAAACAATATAATGTTTTGAGAAGTGCTCAATATACTAATCCCTTTCTGTTCTTGGTTGTGTTGATGAATCACTAACTGGGCTGGTCTAGTTGGAGCTGACCGTGACTAATCCCTTGCATGAAAATAAAGGGAAGATAGACATGCTACTTTTAGAGCAAAATGTAGACACTGTTTTTTCATTTATACATAATTTTATTCACAAAAAGTGAATGGGATTGGGCAGCAGGTAAAGCCTATTTCAGCCCTATCCCTATAGACACTGTCCAAGCTCTTGAACTTGGTAGGGGGAGGGAGGAAAAGAATCTCAAAAATTTGTTGCCCGACGTTGATATAATTACACAAAAAATGCATACTGTTCGAGATTTTATGTAATTGGTGAACTGTTTCTTCTTATGGATAAACAGAAGAATTGTAAGTTTTTTACAGTGTGAAAATAATATTACTTGATAATAAAAATTGAATCAACATTCATCACATTCAGTTTTTAAGAAAAAATTGAAATTTTGACTTGAATAAAATAGTTGCATAAATTTCTCATATTAAACCCACAAAGTATTGGAAATGGTGATGTAGAAAGAAATGGTAATGTAATCCATTACTTTAAAAAAAACAACAGATTAATGGTAATGGTAATTTAATGCCCAAATTCTAGAAGTAATGGCAATGTAATGCATTACTTTACAATGTAATTCACCCCAAGCCCGATGTAGCACCAGTTTATGTTAGTGAAATTTAATTTCAAAAGATACGCGGGTACCAGAAACAAGTTTATCGACATATTCCCCACAATGCTTCTTTTCTATGTATAAGATCACTAAAAATTATTTTCAGTATTGAAACAGACAGCTGTCTAAACGTACTTAGTTAACCTTTTCTGAGCTTGCGTCTAAAGACAGAGTAAAACTATTTTGTAAATCTGAGATTATTTATGAGAGCTATATGTTACCCATAAATGATGTTAAAACAAAATATTTTAATCAGCAGTCTTTTACAGCTTTTTGCTTTCTTTTTGGGGTTTAATAACAATGCATTCTCTAGGCAAAGAACAATCATTAGTAGAACTAGAGCAGAGTTCGTTGCAAAGCAACGAGTAGGTCTTCCGTTGGAGCTGCGAACAGGAAGAAGTGACCTTGAGTCAAGGTCATGCCACATTCTAAGGTTATAAGCAATCTTGTAAGGGGTATCAACTTGCAATGTCTCACCAGTAGAAAGACAGTTAAGGAATGTTGTTTCTCCGTTGATGACCTTGAACTCGTTCAAGTGACCTTGCATCAAACCATGACACACTCTGGTTATAAGCAAACCCCATCTATGTGTTACCGACTCGACAAATTAACACATGTTCTTTCAGACCATTCATCCAGTCAAAACATTCTTTCCTTAGTGACCCTAAATTTAATCAAAATGGCCGTAGGAACCGGGGGAGGGGGCACGGGGGGGGGGGGGGCGTGCCCCCCCCAATAATTTTGCCAATATATAGATTACTATAGTAGACATAGATACTATAGCTTGTGCCACCTCAATAAAAACGTCTGATAACCTTCTTTTTTTTTTTTTTGCTTGTCAAGGAATTTTTGGTAGTTGGTGACCTTTTTTTTGCTTGTCAGGAAATTTATGGTAGTAGTGCCCCCTTAACTGTCAACTGAAAATGTATGGCTATGCCCCCCCCCCAAAAAAAAAAAAAAACTGAATTTGCTTCCTATGGGCCTGATCAAGGCAATGATACACTCTGTATGATATCAGCGATACCCTTTTGTGTGTTTCGGACTTGACAAGTTCACAGTTTGCATTTATTGCATGATAGTGAGGGAGACCCATAAAAAATCATATTCCCTGAGGGCAACATGAAGATTTCTTCGCCCATGAAAAATCATACTCCCCGAAGGCAACGCCCGAGGGAAATATGATTTTTCATTTGCGAAGAAATCTTTATGTCTCCCTCACTATTATGCAATAAATTGTTTATAATACCGAATTAACCAAAATGCAGGAATTACAAAGGAGATCCAATGAATAAAGCAAACATGCATTTGATGAGAACGATATGAAAGAGATGTAAGTTACAGGTACACCAATAGCCTCGTTTTATTAAAAAAAAAATTCCTACGTGACAAGTTTGTGTGATCACACCAGTAACATTCAAACACCACCATTACATTTTTACACATTTAAATCGACACCATCAATCAACGATAATATGTTGACGGTGCGACCGTTGGGGCGAGTGCATTGTTCACTTAATTTTAAGATCCGCCTCTTCAAACAGCACGAGACATTTGGAACGTCTAGACTGTGACGTCTCATGACGTATGTTAGCTGTATTTCCATAAACGAATTTTGAAAAGTGCAAACATTTTAACAAAGAACGTTTAATCTACTATCTGTATGCAATTCCATTAATTAAGGTGATTTTTTGGGGTGAATTTTTAGTTGTTGTTACCGCGCGAACGAAGTTAGCAGCGTCGCTATAAACAATCTAACTCCTCACCCGTTTAATTGTGACGTCACAATCGTGAAACACGACGTTTTGTTGCAGGGCAAACATGATGGACACGTGACTTTCTCGGCCAATCAAATTCTATTTTACTAGACTAAGTGATTTTTCACTTGTAAGCTAGTTTTCAAAGAGGTATAATAAACGTTTTTTTTTTAGACCATACATCGAAATAAATTACCGGTATCATAATTTCTATAGTCGTAATTTATCAGGTTCAACTCACTGCTTTAAAGGATCATTGTAAATGTTTTATGCCCGATTTGGATACTGAACAACGTGTGATTTTTGAAACACTGATGCCCCCATATGGCATCTTATGGCAAAAGTTAAAGTTTCTCAAATGCAAGTCAAACTCCATGGTCAAGATCAAAAAAAAAAAAAAAATGTTATTACCCAAATATGTCTTGAACAAAGAATATACTGTGAAATATATACTACTATGAAAGCCACAGCAGCAACAGTTTAAAAGTTATTGCCAAGGTTAATTTCTTTAAAAGGTCAAACTCCAAGGTCAAGGGATCATAATTGTTTGTACTTGAGGGAAGGTCTTAATTGTTACAAGGAATGCACATGTGGTATTAAAAAAGCCTAAGCACCAACTGTTCAAAAGTTAAAACCAAGGTTAAAGTTTTTCAAAAGTAGGACATACTCAAAGGTCAAGGTAAAATGGTCAAAATTAAACGTATACAATGACAGGCCTTGTCACAAGAAAATTACCTATGTAATATAAAAGCCCTAGTACTAGTCATTCAAAAGTTATTGTCAAGGTTAAAGTTGTTTAAAAGTTGGTCAAACTCCAAGGTCAAGGTCAAATGGTCAAACATATTTATACCCAAGGAGGAGAGTTATCACAAGGGATACAGATGTGAAGTATAAAAGCCATAGCACCAACTGTTCAAAAGTTTTGGCCAAGGTTATAGTTTGGTAAAATTTTGCGAAATAGGATCAAACTCCAAGTTCAAGGTCAAGAGGTCAAATATGTTGGTACCTGAAGGAAGTCCTTGTTACTAGGAATACACATAAGAAATATGAAAGCAGTAGTTCCAACCAATCAAATTTTATGGGCATAGTTAAAGTTTTTGCGGACAAAGAGGCTAACACAGTCTAGCAGACAAATAGACAGGTGGACAGGACAAAAACCGTATGC